TAATCAATGTACTCCTGTACATGAATGTGCATACATACAGTTGGAGCAAAAAGGTTACATACACCTGGTAGAACGAAAACAGTTTTCCTCAAATTTCACAACTTCACTCATTTCTACCAACTATTCCTTTTCATAAGGACAGGCAAGATGGGTCTCTAATTGATGTACATGTACATGGTGCATGCGTCAAATAAAAACACCCAGAAATGTATGTGTATGATTTATACTGACACATGTACCGGTATATTTACAAACAAATAAAATTTTTACATTCTCCAGCCCTAATGTGAAGTGCCACTTTCTGTATTTTGGGTCACATCTCATAGATGCAGTGGACCACTTTCTGAAGTGTTTTGAGCCGCAGTAAGGGGGTAGATTCAAAAATTTTCACAAATTTATTTTTCAGAATTAATATTTTGAACCATAATAAATGTCTCTAAGTATTTTTAATTGAAGTACACACTATGAAAATTAAGTTGAGATACAATTTGTCTGACCTCATAAAAAAAAGTTGGCAACACTATTTCAAACAGGGAAAATTGAGGAAAACTGGTTTTCTACCAAGTGTATGCAAACTTTTTGACCCAACTGTACGTGCATGATCCGAAACAAGCCATATGGTCTTGGTCTCCAAGGAGTCAGATTCAAGTTCACTAAACCCCCACAAACTTGCTTACTTATTTTGAAGGTGTAGAACAAACCCAAGAATTTATCCAAAACATGCATGTGCTACTATGTACACAGGTGGCTGAATGTTTACCAACTTTCAGCGAAGGAGATGAAGCACAACTCAAAGTCTAGTGCTCTACATTGAAATCTGCCACCCTCCCCTCAAAAAGAAATTTTGAAAGGCACAAAAATAAAAACTTAGCAGTATCACAGTACTGTAGGTGGTACCACATCTTGGTAAATTAACACCCTGTGCAAATGACTGGATCAATGTTAATCCAACCCCCCAGGGGAAAATAAAACTGTTTATACCTACATTGGAGTATTTGGCTTATCCACAGCTGAAGATTGGCCTCCCCTTAATGTAATGTATTGATGTAATGTAAACGTACAGGGATGTATACTTTCCACTCTGGGTAAACATGGACAGGTTTCTACACAGGGGCACTTATGAAAGGTCTATACCCACCACTTATTGAAAGCAGGCCTCTGAAGATGGACAGACCTATCTCGGAAAGACGTCATTAGGGAAAGAGGAGAGGGGATGACGTTTGACAACGAGGGGGGGAATGCTGCGATCGCCACCAAGGGAGCTGAAATCTGCAAGCTTTGGGGGGCCTTTATTTCCAAAGAGAACCTTTTTTTATTCTTTTGTTGGTAATTCTTTCAACAAAACAGCAAAACAGTAAATTTGAATTCTGAGTCAGCAAAATTCAAATTCCTCATCGATGTACTGTACCTTGGATTTACCTGTATAAATGCAAACAAGTGAACCTTGACTAAGTGGTATTCGATCTAGAGCAGTCAGAGCATTCACTACTTACGTCAATGACATGCACATATCACCGAGTGAAACCACACAACATTTACAGGTAAAACGAGAGATTTGTGAAGAAACGAATAATATCCATGACCACAGTGATTAAAATTACAATTACATGTATACATGGAGATAATAAATTTCCAGTGGTTAAAAGTGTAGGCCTACTGCATTCAGTGCAAAGACGTGAAATCTGGTCTGGAGCATTTGAGCAAGAGTGTACTCATAAGAAATACAGCAGTCTGCTATGAACTCTTCACACACTGAACGTGCCTAAAATACTGGTAGAGAAGATTTTTAGTCATGTGAGTTTTTGAAATAGCACGCCTTCCAGGTCTCTCAGCATTGCGCCAGTACACATCAAACTGCCAACAGAAATACACAGATTCACAAATGCATGCACCTCCACAGACATGGTACAGGTACCCTTCCTGAAATGTGTTTGCCTGTCACGTTACATTATGTCAAAAACCTCTATTATATATGCTAGCTGAGCTTCACATTTTGATGCAAGCCAGGGCACTTTTGTATATGTACATGGGTTATTCTATAAATTAGGGGTTCAAATTTTTGTGTGTCCTTGTCACATCTGACATGCATGTGCATGTGCATGTGCGTGT